GAAAATTAAGGAAAAAATCTGATGGAGCAGATCACTTCAACATTGTCACAAAGAGCCCAAACACCTTCAGGCTGTCTGCACCAAGCTCACCAAGCAAGGAACATACCCACCTCCACAATGTCATCATCAAACAGCAACCAGAAGCCATGGCTCTTCACAATGGTGATGTAATGGCCACGGTTTGGACCACTGCCAGAAGGAAAAACAAAGGATTGGAGACTTATCACTCTTAAGTCCACCAAGGCAGGCACTGCTCTTCCACACAACTCCAGCTATTACTGGCAGAGCTGATTTCCAGGCTCTTCACACTGCCTAATACTATTCACAACATTGTTTAAGTCCTTAGACTTTGCCAAATTCCTTGAATTAAAATTTCTGTCTTTGCTACTTGCCAAACACAATATATTCAAAATGCACCACATTGTGTTTCATATAACCATTCATATACTTCAAAAAACAAAAGTAAAAGCCTGTTATTTTTGTCACTGTTTTGTTGCATTCACCACTGCTGAGTATTTTGACCACTGCTCAAACAATGTTAATGACTGTCTGCAGTGTCTGTTAATAACTGGCTTTGAAAGAACCTACACTGATATCAACTAAAGAAAAATAAAGTACTTCTGTAGTACTTCCAGAACAAATTGTATACTTAAATGCATTACCTGTCACAGAATGAAACTGCTTTGTTTAGAGCAACTAAATGAGAAGTAAAACTACAAGGGCAAATATTTAAAACAAGTTCTGATAACTCAAATATTTAGAAAATACAGTTTCTTTTAAGCCTTTGGTAAGCTCTTAGTATGAAGTGAAACCACAGGACTCTTAAAAGCCCCATGTAAGACACCAAGTTTGAGAAGAAAAAGCCATTTATAACATCTAAACTGTTAACCACTGTTGTTAAAACACACAAATGTAGTTACAGGTATAGCAAAAAATGCACAGAATGAGATCTTAAAATGATAAAAAGAAACAAAAAATAGTACAACTATCACCACAGAAATCACCTAGAATTCTCTGCAGTTTATTTATACTAAATCTATGGAATATTAATGTGTTGATTATCTTGTCTGGCTCCTCACAAAGATGTTTCAAAACATTTCTGTGCTGTACTAACTTATTACTTTAACACTTACAGTTAATTTTTTGCCTACCATGTCTGCTGTTTTCCTAGAAGTGCTTGCACTTTTTTCCACTTTGCTTTTAAAAACAGAATTAGAGGCACTACAACAACAACAAAAACGTAATAAAGAAAATAAGGGCTTTTTTGTTTTTAAAATCAACAGTACAGAGTTTATTCCACATGGTGGCAGCAGCTTCTAAAAAAACTCCCATGGTTGAGCAAGCAGCAACATGAGAAATGTAACTTCATCCTATTCTAGCAAGTGTTTTTCCCAAGACCTGTTTTTATTTCATTTAGCTTTCCTGGAAAGTAGAGTTTGGGGTGGGGTTTTTGTTGGGGTTTTTGTATTTTTTTTTTTTTAAAGACTGCTCACTTCAATAGAGCTCAAAGACACAATTTGTCTGCACTGTCACCACATTTGATAATGTGATAAAAAAAAATCATCACTGAAAGCTGATACAAAGGCAAACCTGAGATTGTGCAGTCAGAAATGAAAATTTACAATAGTAAAAATGTAGGAAGAAAAGTCTGGAACATTTTTTAATTAAAAATAAATTAAAATACTTGTGGACAGCAAGCTCTGACGTGGCCTAGCACGCTCCCATAGGGGCAGCCACTATACTCTTATAAAACGGATGACTGACTCCTTTTAAATCTCAAAGAATAGCATTTAAGGTCAAAAAAAATCCACAAAATCCACATACCTGCCACAGTGAACGACGACAGCCACAAGGTCATACATTCTGTCAGGGTTTGTAGCATCTCCTGAAGTGTTGAAGAGCCGGAGCTCCAGGGGAAAGACTACCCTGTAGGAGAGTTTGGTGTATCGATGCAGCTGGTCCATATACTTGAACCTTTTTAAGTGCAGAGCTAGAATCATGGGCAACTTTTTCACTCTCATCCTGAATCACAAAAAAATATGTTAAGCAATGTATTAGCACATCATCTAAAGCAAAGCTTTGTTCAAGAACAGTTTCAATAGGAATAAGTTTCTTAAAAGGCATCTAAAGTGTTGAAGATTTTCCAAAGGCTGCTTTCCTCATGTATATTCCAGGGAGAATAGGTAATATTTATTCAGAAAGATTAACTACACAACTGACATCTGAATGCAGGACAACTGCCTGTGTTGAAAACACAGATTTTTCAGCACATCAATGGGAAGAAAGAGGTGGAATAAATCTGTCTTGCTGCTCTGGCTGTGACCAAGGATGAGGCGAGAAATAAGATTTTTGTATATAGTGTGGCTAGTGAAAGCAGATGGGATGGTTTTCAGTGGCTTTAAGCTGATTAATGCTAACTGGGGAAAATGTGAATGTCTGGAAGCACCAGATATAAGCTCTTCTGGGAGGAATGTAAAATTAATCTTTTCATTTCTCTCTGATAAGGTTGCCACAGAGTTACTTGGTCTCTCCCCTCTTCCTTACTCTCTTCCCCATCAAACACAGATCTAAACAGTCTTAAGTTTTCTGTTTAACTGAATTCACAAGGTGTATTTTTCCAGCAGCTGCCTATTGGAAGAGAACATTTACATCAGGCTGATTATTTTATTTTATTATATATGCTTCTATGAGAACCTTACCTCTTCTGTGCTTCTTGTTTACTGCGGCACTGCTCACAATAATATTTATATTCACTGCATAGAGTTTCAGTATTACTAAACCCTCTGTGGAAATGAAGGAAAAGCCAGATAAGCAGGGATATTCAGCCAGACCATCCAGTTTAAAGTTACTGCTAATCATGCTGAGAAAAACCCAAGCAAAGGGTTAAATTCCTTTTATTCGTATCGCTCATACCTCCCAAAAATGTTTTAGGTGTATTTGTCCCAGTCTTGGGATGTAGTATCAATGTTCAGCTGGAAAAATCTGGAAATTACACCCTGAAGTATTAACTGCATACCTTCTAGGCAGGAGGCAAACACAATAGGTAATAAACAGCAATAAGGTGACTGTGTTTTGTTTCCAGAGGTAGCCACTCCCACATTTTCTTTGGTGGCAGATATTAAATTTTAAGACCTGCAGCCACTAGCCATTGACTTGCCCAAGTCTGGATTATCTTTCAGCTCCTAGCAATTATACATCCATTATCAGCTATTAAAAAGCCAGATGCTGTAAGCAACTTGTAGTATCCTAGCAGCTGATAAGCCTTGGATTTAGCAGTGAAGTACATGGAATAAATATCTATCCAAAAAATAAAAATTAAAATCTGGCCACAAACATCAGGACCAGACAAGTGAAATGCATTAAAAATATTCAAATAAACAAGAATCTACTGTGAAACCAAGCATACCACATTTAGTTTTTTTAAAACCTGACTATATGACATAACAAGTTAAAATACCTATGAAAAAGTGAAAATCTATCTTAGGTACCCCTAAGAAATTGTTGTGCTCATTAACTACTAGGCACCACTAAGAAAGTAGGAGCTTCAAAACCTCACAATAAAGATAAAACAAACAGCACTCCAGACAGAACATCCTTTACCACAAGACAAAGCCTACAACTAAGCCAGGCTCCTTCCTTCTGACCCAGGGCAGGTATTTTTTTCCATTCCCAAATATTTTCATTTACCTTAGGCAGTGTGTAATTGATGTATTTTGTTCCACATCAACCGACAGATCCAGAAAGTCCTCATCTTTGCTACTAACCTTGAAAAAAAAAATAAGAAGTATTTTGTAATGGTTTAGAACTGGCAGATTTCTTTCAAGTGTTTCTGGAATGGTGCAGAATCCATCGTTGGGAGTAGAGAGCTTTGTGATAAAAAAGTAAATATACACACAAAGGCCTTTTCTTGAGGTAAATTAAAACTGAAGAAATAATCTGGTGTGCTGTAACAATCCAGGGAGGAATATTAAAACCCCCAAAATATAACAAAAAAACTAAAACCCAAGAAAAGAGAAAACACACAAAAAAAAAACCCAAACCGAATAACCCTTCTTGCAAAACATCTCTCCCCCTTGAGACTTCAAGACACAGCTGCTGAAGTTTGGTGGGAAAACCAAGGTTTTAACCCCTCAGAGCTCTCAGAGCTGGAGAAGGCTGAACCATATTCCACCCTGCTTTGTAGACTGACCCAGCTTTCTGCTGCATTTCAGAGCTGAACAGTAAATGCCCACAGGAAATGCAGGAACAGGCGGATGGGTTTTCAATTACAGGGGTTAGCAGTTAGGAAACCCATCCTTCCATCTGTGGAACAGACATTTCATTTCAAAATGCTCTAGACAGAATCTTATTAATGTCATTTTTAGAGCTTCTATTCACCACATTGCTGTAACTTCAGATTTAAAATGCCAAGAACAGTCGTTTCAGTTGTAATCACTTCTTTTTTTTCCTCTACACATCTGGGCTTTCATTTTTTTTAGAACTATTAAATCAGACTGTGTGACTAACTACAAATTCCTGGTCTGAAGGTGGTGTGATTCTTCTGGTTCTAGACTTTGTGGCACTTCTTTTGCTCGCCAACAGAGTGGCTATGGACCAGCACCAAGAGGCAGAGACTTCCAGTTCAAGAAATTCAGTTAATCCCAGAGTTAAATAAATAGTGAGCAATTCTCATGTAGAAACACAACAGAAACTATCAATCACTGACACAGGTAATAACATGAAGACAAAGAGGCAGCTTGTATCAGCCAGGTGCAGACTGCCTTGATGGAAACAGGGAGGAGGAACAGAAAAAACACTGTGCTTTTTCTGAGAAACATACCTTAATGAGTATTGGTTTGAACATAGAGGTGATAGTCATAAAATAGGCTACGCTCCATATTTTAATAGAGAGAGTGCAATTTCATCTACCCTAATAAATGAAAAAGTGTGCTTAGTATTAGGGAAAATGATCCAGAACCTGGGCAAAATCTAAGAGGTTTGGTTTTGTTTTAAACGTACAGCCTCACAGTTAAGACATCTGGTTTCATTGGTTAGTGTTCCTTGGAAGATTTCGTGGACCCACGTCAGATCAGTCTTGTCTCCTTCTTCACTCTCAATGCTGCCATTCTGCAGTTTGCCATTCTGCTTCTCCTGCTTCTTCTCTTCTTGTAATAAGTCAGCAATAGTGTTAAGTAGGTAGTTTAGGAATTCGTGTGCATCCTGCTGCATGTAATTATCAAATAATTCTGGAAAGAGAGAGATCAAAGAGAATGAAATAAATACAGAGTTCATCATATCAAGCTATTATGCTTTTAATGATCAGTGTGTGCCCTTCCCCCTTCTCTACCCTGTTATACAACTGTGGGTTACACTGTTAAGAATCCTGGAAGATTGTACTTGGTTGTTCTCACAAGGGATGTTAGGTTGCCCTCACCTGTTCCTCAGGTTACAAGCAACAGGGAGCTGAGAAATAACACAAAGGAAACTTAGTTTGGGCATTTCTGGGAACTGAAGAAAACTGTGATTGGTTTTAGGGTTGCTTTGGGGTGGGTTTTTTTTGTTGGTTTTCTTTAGGGAGGGAGAGGAATAAAGAAATTCAGATGTGCTGCCTTGGGCTATTAGTTCATTAAGCCCAGCATCAAGGGGCAAAAATCCCCTACTACAAGTTTGTTATCTTTTCAAGTTCAAGCAGAGGTAATAAATCAACATACAGAACTTTTCCTCACAAAGTAGCCCTGGGAAATAACCACTGGCTCTCACTTAAGGAATTTATCCTACCACAAATGTAAGAAAGCAGGTTAAGAGTGGTTAAATCTCCTCAGAGAGCTCAACTTTGACCAACTCTACGAGGTCTTTTCAGCCCATGACAGTTTCTAGCAGGGACCTGAAGTGTGCTGACTTGCAGCAGAGCTCTGCAGAACACAAGCCAGCATGGGGCAAGGGGAGTAGGGAGACTTGTGTACATGCTCTGGACTCGGTCTAAGCAAGCACAGAGACACAGATATGTGGATAATCCTCTTACAACCCAGCACAGTTCTGATAGAATCTCTGTTCTACGCTACAGAAGTGGTCAAATTCACACCCCAAACAGGAGTCCAAACATTTTCCAGAAATCTGTTAAAACCTGACAATCTGGACTCACTTAAAAAGGAAGTTGTGGTTACGATTTATACTTTTAAAAGTTCCCAAGGCTTAAATCTGCATTAAAAAAATCTCAATTTATTCATTTACCATTTTCCTTCCTCAATCGGGAAATAAATTTCTTGGGTGGGATGACTCCCACCTTCTTCTTTTGTGTAGCAATACTGTTGAAGAGATCAGAGAGGCATGTCAGGAGGCTTTCCTTCTTTCGAGGCTGCACTTTGTATGCCAAAACTTTTTCCCGAAATGGACGACAAAAATAAAGTGCCTGTAAGACTGAGTTGCAGTAGCAGGTATTGCCGAACTGGTCAAAACAGAACAAAAGGAAAACAAATGTTTTCATATTAGGTCTGTTAAAAAGTAAAAGCAGAAAGAGGCTGCTCGTTAAGAATGTCACATACTGAAATGGAAAAGGCGTCTGTCAGAGGTCATTTACTGGGGGAACGCTAGGAGGTGTGGTGTAAAAGAGTCATCCTTGTATCATCACGGCTGGTAAGGGCAAGAAAAGGAAGAGAAGGCAACAGTCATGGCAAAACTAGGCACAAAAAGCAGGAAATCACTGACAAAAAATCCCAATGAGGGCTCGTCACAAAATCAAAGTGTCTGGAGACACAGCATGCTACCAACCCTGATGGGGAGAGCCTGCTGAGGATGATGTGGGGGGTGCCAGTGACACAGTGGGATGGAGGGACAGAAAAAGGAATC